GTGTGTGAATATCACTTTTAAGTGATTTTTTATCTTCGCGAGTGTTTGAATTCACCAAGGTTGATCTTTTTCATTGTTAATGAGACAAGGTCATTGTTACAGATTTCACTTTTGTCCATGTGAAGAAGATTTCTCGTTGAAGAGGGTTAAAGTCTATTTACAGTCATTAGACTTAAAATATTGGATTAGTAATTAGCAATAAGTAAGATTATTCTTAGCCTAAATACTTTGAATATACGAATATAATAGATGTTAGAAGAGGTTTATAAGAAAATATGGTAATGAAACTCACATTAAAATAATATTTATTTATAAAGCAATCAAACCCCTTATTGTGCCGAACAGAGACTTTATATCTAAGTCAATAATCACCCGTTCTCCTCTATCACAGTTGAGAGAGGTGTGAAATGAGTCATTAAGCGTTGTTCCTCTCTTTTCTTGAAGGTGTGAAATGAGTCATAGTTGAGAAAGCAATTCACAATTTATTCATAGTTTATTGAAAGTGACAAAAGTGTTTCTAATCAATTATATTATACTGTCAATTACAATTACAAAAGTGTTTATCCAATGTAGAGATTCTGAAACTAAAGATCCCACAAAAGTAGAAGACAAACACATACTAGAAAAGCAGGAGGAATTTCCACTTTTCTTGTACACCCAAAAGCCACATGCAGATAAGAATTTGAAGCCAACCAGTGTTACTACGTTACAACATAACAATGTGACCATGGATACAACATTAATGTTAAGTTATTGATATTAATGTTGAGTTAAGGGAGCTTGTAATGTTATTGAAATACTCAAGCTTGTCCAAATAAGAAGATTTCTGAGCACAATCAGGAGATTTAGTTACACTATTTTCATTATTTTCGTCCACGAAATCCTTTAAATCTCCAATGAGTTTATTGTTCTTTGCGTCCAACTCCTCCTTGATTGAAGTCCAACCCATGAAATCTGAGAGAGTCATTCAAGGTGGTGTATCTGAAGAGTGAATGTTGAAATTTTCATCCTCAGAGTCTGGGAAGTCCTCACAGACATTGGTAAAGAATCCACTGAAACCCTTCTGCTGCTCCAGCGCCACCAACAATTATCTTTCCTCGGCGCACAAGCCTTCAACCTGCAAGAGAAATACAAAGATCTAAAAACCCAATTGGACTAGAAGTCGTCGCTGTAGAGACCACCCTACTCGCGATCTCCACCATGCCTGAACACCATCTTCGCACAACACCATAAACACGCATATGTAGAGAGAACCAGACCGCGAACATCTTCTCAATCGCGACCTCCATCATCAATCTCACGCAACCATGGCAACTTGCACCTCCATTCGAAACCTGCACACAGATTCGAAACCTCAATCACAAAGAGGAAACCCTATAATTTTAACATAAACCAATTAAATTTTGTCATTTCATAATCTTTTAATTTAAATAAAAATTCTACGTAATCAAACAGTACATATCAACATATTAAGTGGACACCATGTCAGCAACTGTAAACGACCTCAGTGAAAACTTAACGGACAGAGCTTAGTTGGCTCAATTTTACAAGTTTATGGATCCAATTGAGACCGTAAAAAAACGATGACTTGTTTGAAATTGATCAACAAATATGAGGATAAAACGATGGTTAAACCTAAAAAAATATTTACGTTTCTTTTATATATTCAAATAACTAATTTTGCTGTGCATATGGAAAGGTCCGATTAAGGATATCTTTTAGATAATTCCATAAATATTTATTTAACACTAACGTTTGATACCATTTGCAAATCTATTGTGTTCCAACCTATAAAAGTGATAAAGATAAAAACGTAATGACTCAGATAACTCGTTTTTTTTTTAAATATAAGAAATTGACAATTATTATTATTATTTTTGTATAACTGCGCGATAAAATATTTGTAGCCATTGTAAACGGAAATAAATAAAAAAAATAAGTGACTTGTTATTTATACCATGAAGCAGTAAAATACAATACAAGATAGTGTATATAAAATAGGGTTAATTCTAATAATAATCAATTGTTAAAAAAAAGAAAAAAACTCAATATACATAGAATATTATCACTGAAATGAATATAAAAAAGTTCATAAATATAGAAATATGTGTTAAGTTTATCATTAATAACTTTATTTATCATAAAATAAAAGTTCCACTACTAATTTGTCAATCCATTTCACACTAATACAAATATATACTTTATCAGCTAGTGGTACTAAATAAAATTATGCTAATCCAATCTTAAATATATACTTAATAAATTCTTTGTACTAAATAAAAGTATGTTTGTCCAATCTTATATCTTGTTTTTTTATAAAAAAATGTTATAATTTTTAATTGTAAATGTTTGTTTGAATAAAGAATTTTAATAAATAAATGCACAAAAACATTATTTAAATATTAAAAAATTAGTAATGGTTACAAAGTATTAATATTAATAATATTACATAATTAATGTTAGTTTAAATTAATATTAAATTTTTTTTAATACATATATTAATACTTCAAAAAGTTGAATAATTATTTGTCATCAAATAATTATTTATTAATATAAAAAAATAATATAAAGTGTAAGATATCACACTAAATTNAAATGAATATAAAAAAGTTCATAAATATAGAAATATGTGTTAAGTTTATCATTAATAACTTTATTTATCATAAAATAAAAGTTCCACTACTAATTTGTCAATCCATTTCACACTAATACAAATATATACTTTATCAGCTAGTGGTACTAAATAAAATTATGCTAATCCAATCTTAAATATATACTTAATAAATTCTTTGTACTAAATAAAAGTATGTTTGTCCAATCTTATATCTTGTTTTTTTATAAAAAAATGTTATAATTTTTAATTGTAAATGTTTGTTTGAATAAAGAATTTTAATAAATAAATGCACAAAAACATTATTTAAATATTAAAAAATTAGTAATGGTTAAAAAGTATATTAATATTAATAATATTACATAATTAATGTTAGTTTAAATTAATATTAAATTTTTTTTAATACATATATTAATACTTCAAAAAGTTGAATAATTATTTGTCATCAAATAATTATTTATTAATATAAAAAAATAATATAAAGTGTAAGATATCACACTAAATTACACTTAAGAACATGAGCAAACAAAGTCTATTATGAAAAAAAATCAGTTTAAAAAAATCAGTTTAAGTTAATATTAAAACAATAATAAAGATGAAATGTTAAATCATTTATATTGTTTTTTATGAATAAAAATAAAAATACTTATTTGATTCAGACAATGATTTCTCTCAAAAAAAAATATTAATAACTTTGAACATATGTTTACAAAATTACAAGTACCAATGTCATCTTTTTGTAATACTTTAAAGAATCCCTTGTTAATCAAAGAAACCATGACAAATTAAAGTAAAATCACTCTTCAAAAAAGTTTTTGAAAATCCTCATTTCAAACATGTTTTAAAAAATAAATAACCTTCATAAACTCTACATAAATAAAAGTCTACCCATGTATTCACCATAACTTCCTTTAAAAATATCAGCACACAAAGTTAATTGAAGACAACTCTTAGTTGCATCATGAATGAAAGAAACTTATCATATTACATCCTTAAATGAAATCACTACATAGTTTGAATATTAAAAAGTTTAGCACAAAAAAATCAAAAAAGACATTACTCATAGCTTTTTAAATTTATTTTGAGTCATCTTAATTTGAAAATAACATAAATAAAAACTATTGAATAATGAAATTTACTATGATTTCTCATCTTCCAAATCATTTAGATAATCAAACTAATAACCATCACTTTAATCAATTTAAGCAAAGCTATAAAAAGATTTCATAATAAAACAACCAAATTGAGAAAAAAACAAAAAATCTTAGAAAGCTTCATTTAATTATTCACACGCATAATAATAAAAACAATAAAAAAAACAAATAAAAAAAATATTCAACCTCGTTTACACATAAAGAACACATAGCATAAAACTACTTCTTTTTTTTAACCTCAAAACAATAAATAAAAAACTATACAATAACTTCAAAATAACCAAAATTTTAGTTAATAACATAATATCCAACAAAATTAAATTCTCGCAATCCACACCATTTATCATAGAATAATAAAAAATTTTAACAATTAAAAAAAAGCACATAAGTACCATCCAAAAGAAAAATCACATAAATAAAAAAAAGTAAAAAAATGAAACTTCCTTCACGTCGAACTAACAACAAAATACCTTATTTTTGTTAAAATGAGAATTTGGTGTTTATTTTACCAACATTTCAACTAATATCAATTAAAATATATTCACTAACTAATATTAACAAAACAATTTGAAAAAAATGATTTTTTATAAAATATTTCAATTTTTTATAAAAATGAAATATACTTTTAAAATTCTTAGTTAAACACATAATAATGGACATGGTTAAATGATGAGAAAAACATGAAAATAAATGCTAAACAAAGTATTTCTAGACGGAGAAATAAATTCAATGTGAAAGAAGAAAACTTGAAAATTTTCTTTCCGTCCAAAAAGATATTACATTAGTTTTGTAGTCTTGGAAAAAGAGAAACAAGCGGAAGAATCAGAAGATCAAACCTCCAATTTTCTTCCAAGGTTGATTTTCTCGTGTTGAACGCAAGCAACACATTTCCAATCAAATTTTCCTCACAACTTCATCATCATCATCTTCCTCAACAACTCACATTCATCCATAACATATTCTTCAAAATGTAAAACCCATGCTCTGTGCAATTGCATATTGCAATCCAACAAAGCATGGTTTAAACAAACAAACAAAAAAAAAACATGGAACACAAGCTCATAGAAAAAGGTTCACCAACTTTGTACCTTAAAATTATTATTCCTTCCAAAAACATATGCCACGCCGATTCTCAACATAAGAAAATGATGCACTATTCATGAGACCGTCCACTATCCTTTGTAGCCATTATTGTACATTTGACCCTCTCAAACGTGTCTTTCTTTCACATTCTCACCGTAAGATTCACACCTTCCTTCCACCGTCCACCTGTTAACCCAGTAATCTCCCTTTGTAGCCACCACTTTGCACTATATATATAAACCACCTTTACCTTCTTCACATCACACACTCCATAGCCTTCTCTTTTCTTCTCATCTGAAAACACCCTCAGCACACACACTTTTAACAATGGCAGCCTTCTCAAGCCATGCCATCAAAACCATCCCTTCATTTTCCTTTCAGAAATCTGTCACCACCAAACCAGATTCGTTGTTCCTCACACCCTCAAATATCAAACCTTCATCACCCTTCGTCTCATCAAACCATTCTCTTGCCAAAAGTCTCAAGCTTAACTCCACTTTGCCACACTCTTCTTTCACTTCAGTTCCCAAGAAATCTTTCACTTGCAGAAGCCAGGCTCAGCCTGTTGACTCTGGTAGACATACCCAATTCTCAAATTTGTTTTTTTGTAGCTGAAATTGAACTGGGGTTTGTCTTCTTTAGTCCTCTGACGTCACCCTTTTGGTTTCTTTGCTTGATCGCTCTGCAGAAAAAGTCCAAGAACTGAGTGTGTACGAGATCAACGAGCGAGACCGTGGCAGCCCTGTTTACCTCAGATTGAGCAATAAAAGTGTGAATTCCCTTGGTGATTTAGTCCCCTTCA